ACTAAAAATAATGCTCATATATTAAAAAATAAAGTCAGGTAAAAAATTCATTAAAAACAAATGATATATGAGAGAGAGAGAGAGAGAGAGAGAGAGATCTGCTTATAATTGCACGAGAAATGGCTATATATTACCATTTCTTAGGGCACCTCGGCGTGGTGTAATGGTTAGCAAGCTTGTCTCGCTAGATCAGTTACGACTAAAAAGTGAGTTCGATCCTCACCAGGTACCCCATACTTTCGGCCTTGTGCCACATCTAAGCTATGCTTAGAAAATAACTATATTACCATTTCTTTTATCTTTTTCAGTTGCTTTTTAGTATAACTGCCCAAACAGTCATTCATTTTGCTTTCTGATGATATGATTGCCTAAAAAATTAAGTTAAACTAAAGCAAGATTAAATATTTAATATATGAAAATATATATATATATATATAGATATACTAGAATTTTTTGCAACACATTAACAGATGTTGAAATCCTCACAGTATTTAGCATTGTTGAAGTTATCGCAAACATTTTTTATCAAGATTTACAAACTCTACATCTCATTAAAATTTTATAAGCTAATCAATAAAATTTGAATAAGATGATTTATTTGAAATAATACTTTGACAAAAACCCTACTTCACAGTTTAATAATTTCTTTAATTTAATTTAATTTTAGAGGACTTCATGGTAAACAATATTTTTTAAGAAAATTTCTTTTTTTCCTTTTTAACAACGAAGAATAAATTTGTAGGATTTCTTAGTCTTGAACATGCAGCATACAACTGGCCATGCATAAATATTTCTTTTTGGAGCCAAATTCCAACTTTTTGAAGTGTTTGGCCTTGTGATTTGTTTATATTCAGTAGTTCTCAGAAATGCAGGATGAACTGTAAACTGTATATAAAAACTTAAAGAAAAGATATGCAAAAAAACAATATTGCATTTTTATTAAATAAGTATTTGTTATTTTAATCACTACATTATTTTTAAAACAGTAAGTGTATTTTGTATATTAAATAATAAAACTTATAATCTTTCTGAAAAAACTAATGAAAATTTATTGTACTAAGCTACACACCTTAGTAAAACAAACTGTACTTTGTACACCCTTACCTGTTTGCACTTTTCCCTAAAATTTGGTTTTGATCAATCAATGTATGGCTATTCTAGCAGATGTGATGGATGGACTAACAAAAGTCACAGAATTTTATATATATATATAGATAGATAAGTATTTGTCATTTTAATCATTAAATTGTTTTTTAAAATAGTGAGAGTATTTTGTATGTTAAATAATAAAACTTTTAATTTCTTTAAAAAATTAATGAAAATTTATTGTACTAAGTTACACACTCTAGTAAGACCAACTGTACTTTGTAACCCCTTATCTGTTTGCACTTCTCCCTAAAATTTGGTTTTGATTGATCAATGAATGTCTATTTTAGAGGGTGTGATGGATGGATGGAACTCACAGAATTTTATATATAGATGACAATAAAAATTAATGAGAAAGACTCATGAGCAGACATGCTTGCCTACATCCTGCAGAGACATAGCAAAAAAAAAAACACTTGTAAGTTTAACAAATTAATGAAGTCATTCTACATTTTTATAAGTTACAGCACTATAATATGAAAAACAGAAATTGACCTCTAGATCTAAAGAACAATACTCTACCAAGAACTTTGCATTACAACTTGCTAATAAGCATTTTCCTTTTCCTTACTGAGTTGCAGTTAGCATAAGAAGCCCATCTAGCCAGAAGATCTGAAATTAATACTCTATCATGTCACTTTCCAATAATTAAATGAGAATTTTTCTTCTAGACAAATTGTAATTAATCAGTTTAATTAACCTTGCCATCAGAATGGAATGAAACAAAGCCTCGTGACCTATTGTCCGATGTTTGACGACTAAGTTATTATAATAGCATATACTAACAGTTACTGTTGACAGAACTAAGCTGACTGATAGAGGCAACTGAAATACAGATTCGAATGTGTTTTGACAGAAGGATGTTGAAAATACAATGAACAAAGTCTGTAAGTAACGAGAAAGTCTTAAGGAAAGTAGAAACGGAAAGGACACTGGTACAGAGAATCAGAAAGAGACAGCTGAAATTTCTTAATGAGGAAGGAGAGCTTAGAAAATTCAACACTCAAATTATGTACCAAAGGCAAAAAGATGAACAAGAATCAGCAATATTATTGGTTCTGATCTGGTGGCTCAGTTTCGGTCACTTTCCCACCACTGTCAGGTTGCCTCTCTGTGGTTTTTTTATAAATACTTTTATGGTAATTGCTTGGATGAAAAGGGTGTGATGGATGGATGGATGGAACTCACAGAATTTTTAGCCAACTTTAATCTGCAAAAATTTAAATGCAATGTCAATCCCTATCTACTGATTATTCTTTCTTCTTCCTGATCATTATTAATATTTCTATTCCTAATTCTTCCAGACCCTTTAACTCTTCGTGTCTTAGTGGCTTTAATGCTTTGCATGGGATAATACCGATTAAAGAAAAACGCAACAGGGGGTGCAGCTGGCCACCTATCTGGTGAGCTTGTGTAAATAAAAAGTGGAACAAGGATTGGGGAAAAGACAAAGGTTACTAAGAGCTACAAAGAGTAGGAAATTGTGGGGGGCCATTATCGCCCACGTTCTGAAGGGACACGGCACATAGAGGAAGAAGAACTGAAGAACTAGTAATTGAAAATGAGAGGTGGAGGAAGCACAAAGAATAAAAATAAAATACGTAATTGTCTTTCAAAGATTAATTTATTCAGGTAAAGTGAAGGGAAATTGATCGGATAGACAGATGAGGAAATGAGAATAGGAAATTGTTGATTAACTGAAGAAAGTACTAATTAAGAAATTACTAATTAAGCCCTGAGGAAATAAAAGAAACAAAGAGAGTCCAGAAGTTTATTTGTACTTGACTGTTGTTCATCCTTGTTATCTATGAATTACAATATCTTGATTGGTTAAGTTGGGATCTTTCAGGTGGAAGAGGTATACTCTAGTATCAGTGGATAACACTTTAATCTTGATATTTAATAAGCTTAATTTAGTATGGCATAAACCCAAAACTAGTTGGGTGAGGAGTGGATTGTAAGTGGGTACATCTTGGCTGTTAATCTGGGCTCGAAAACTGATCTCTTGTATACACTATTTATATTCAGATTATTGTCATCACCTGGGTAACCTACCAGGAATTCTGAACTGAACCTGTAGATTAAATAAAGGGTTCAGTTCAGAATTTCCTGTAGGCTACCCAGATTGATATATACCTGAGGAAGGCACAACAGCCAAAATGTTGTGATAACAACAATAAAGATTAGGACAATAGTCTGAATATAAAGAGTATAAATAATGATAATTCCTCATCCCAGAAATTCAGACAGAAATGATCTTTTGTATTTTATTTTATTTTTTTAATACGTGTTTGCCCAAGATTGTGCAATTAAGCTTTTTATTTAATTTTTCTTGTGTTTGAACAAGAGTTTTCTTTTTTGAAGTGTGTAAAAACTGTTAAAAAAACTCCATCAGCAATATACTACTAGAAAATACAAATATTATAGCCTCATCCACAAATAAAAAAGATAAAAAATCATGGAAGCACTAATAATAAAAAAAGGAAAAGTCAACAGTCAAAACATTAACTATGAACATGGCCACAACGTGCTGACCGTGTTTGGAAAATAAAACATTCCTATAACTTACATACATAACAATTGTCATTACATTTAAATTTTTGAAGATCAAACTTGACTTGGAAAGCAAGAGGCTGGAAGAGAGTTCCACAAGCATGAAGTGCAAAAGAAGAAACTCTTACCATGGAACTTACGGTTACATCTACCAATTTCAACTGTAAAATGATGAGACCTTGCCACCACTCTAGTACTACACTTAAATTCATAAAGTCTAGGTACCATAGTGGAAAGTTTATCAGAACTTTATTATTAAAATATGCTTTTTTTTCTTCAGTATTTATCATGTTCAACCTCTTTAGAAACTATTAATATGGATACAATTTTAAATAAAGAATACTCATTATAGTAAACGTGCTAACAAAAATACCTTCTCCCTTGTTCTGCTCACACACACACAAAAAGGAAAAAATATCCACTCTGTAAAAAAAAAAAAAAATCTCCCCAAAATGATTTGGCAAAGAATTTTGTTTGTGTAGAAAGTAGCTCAAAGTTCAATTTCTCTATCCTTTCACCATTATCCCCTCAAGTAGATAATCATAATCCAGAGGAAAAAAAAAAAAAACAATCTTCAGAGGTATATCAAGATTCCAACACTTTTTTTTTTTTGCATTTTTTTTATTTTTTGGCTATTTTATTTTTACTATTTATTTACCTATCTATTTTATTCCTTGGGGATCTCAGTTCAATTATATGAGAGGGACGCCACCGAAAGCAATAACTGCCCACAACTTTCTTGCTTCCACTACCCTTTAACATAAAGGTAATTTTTTTCCAAATGAAAATATTTCCTCTAAAAGCTGCCTGGTTAAAAGATTAAAAATAAAAGTCTATTTTTATTGGTTTGACTCTAAAATAAGCATATTACATATAGGAACTGATATTAAGACAAACAAAAGTGGAAAATCCTTGAGATATTTGCAAAAATTAAAAAGGTAATTTCTCGCAGACACTTGGTTTTTGATATTTTTCTTCTTATATGTTCTACTTGTTCTAACTTTCACAAACTCTGTGATTAATTGATTGATTTGTTTTCTACAGTTTATCAACCTTTTGTAAGTTATTTAAAGCCAGAAAATATTTTTAGATTTTAAGAAATTGGAGTGGGGAGTAATAATAATGGTCTAGTGATACAAGTCTTACTAATTAACCTAAAACTGGCGGGGAAGAGAGGTGGATTCATACCTTTCCCAAGAGTATTTGTGTGTAAGTGAATATAATGAACCTAACAGGAATTGGAATTCTCTGACTAACATTTTGGAGCTTTTATCCACTATGCCACCCAGACATTCAACCATCAACACCTGGTATTCCCAAGTGGTTACCCATCTAGGTACTGACTAGGCTTGACATTGCTTAACTTCAATGATCATATGGGAACCAGACAAATTCTGTGACACAAATTTGCAAACAATTTCATTTATGCCGGTACCTGTTGCCTAAATAAAGTGAAAGAAGTCAAATAAAAAATAAGAGAAAACTAGGAACCATTTTTACAACTGTAGCAGGTCTGTTATTGGGTGGTGGAGGTGGAGGTCGTGTCCCACCCTCCACTGAAAATCATTTTTACGCCTCCCCAGTAAAAATGATGTGAAAATTGTTAACACAACCAGGGTATTTAAAGTTTTAACATAAGGTGCCTGAATCTATTCCTTCAGGGGTTAAGATTTAAAAAATATAATACTTAAAATATATGATCAGTAAAATATAGGATTTAAAACATATGATGGTTAAAATATATGATTTAGTTAGTTTGGGTTTTATTTTTATTTTTTAATTTAAGTTTTTAATGTGTTCATATTTTAATTATATATTGTAACTATTATATATTCTAAATCCTATATTTTAACTATAATAGATTTTCATCATATAATTTTAAGTATTATATATTAAATACCATATTTTAACTATCACATATTTTTAATCTTATATTTTATGCATTATATATTTTTAATCATATATTTTAACTATCATATATTTTAAATCCTATGTTTTTATTATCATGTATTTTTTAATAATATATTTTAACAATTATATACTTTAAATCATATATTTTAACTATCATATATTTTAATCATTATATATTTTTAATCATATATTTTAAATATATATTTTAATCATTATATATTTTTTAATCATATATTTTAACTATCATATATTTTAATCATTATATATTTTTAATCATATATTTTAAATATCATATATTTTAATCATTATATATTTTTAATCATATATTTTAACTATTATATATTTTAATCATATATTTTAACTATCATATATTTTAATCATTATATATTTTTAATCTTATATTTTAACTATCATATATTTTGTAACTATCTTATACATTATCTGAAGGACAGAATTATTGATTTTTAAAAGACTGTCCACCATGTTTCTATGAGAAAAGAAAGAGAAAAAAAGACTGCCTTTCCTTTACATTCTTTAAATTCTTATTCAAATAAAAATTGTTGAAAGTTTCTGTACTTTTTCACAAAAATGATGAGCCAAATTCATATTTATTCTTACTTTTGCTTTGTATAACTGAGCTATATTCATTAATCAATGCAAACAGGAACAAACTAAAGAGAGTCATTATTAGAAAATTAATAAAATGTTAATTAGATATTAACTGAAATTAGTATACTAGAAAAAATTAATTATCATATTCATAGTATATTTATATCTATGGATATAAAGACAGGTATGACAGTCAACTCAGTGTATGCAATGTTTAACTCCCACCATTAGAATATGTTTCAGAGTGATAGAACTAATTTTAGTAAACTTGAACCATAAAATATTGAATTGTTGTTATCTATTAATTCACATTTAAAATACATGTTTTTTTTCAGTGGGATGATGGGAGAAGTCAAGTTTTATGCTGAACTAACTTGGTGATTTAAACAAGAAGGAATGTCAAGCTGAAGACTATTAAAGACAATGACTGATCAGTTACAATTTTTCATTAAAATTACTGACATCTTTATCCATAATTGCTAATTCAATAAGATTTATTATAGGACACTATTTCAACCATTTTCCAACTATTACTATTGTCTATAATATTCTGAATATACGTAAACCAAGACCTTGGAACTTCATGCCCACAAAAACACAGAGCATCAAAAGGACAGTTTTTCCCTTGACACCACCATTATTTTAACTACCTTCACTCCACGGCAGTGTTTATTGTTTTAAAAAGCATGATTAGAGTTGTAATAAAATATAAACATATGACGAAAGTGAACCTAAACCTTTTGCTTATTCTTGAGAATTTGCAACAAAAATAATATACACTATTTATTTATTAGATTGTTTATATATTAAGATTTTATAGATTATTAGATTGTTTATCTACACTATTCATTATATTACTTATTGGAATGGTTGACAAAACATCAGATAATTACCAATCAATTCAAATTTTATAAAATGGTAAATAAGAAGGATTTCACACTTCTTGTTTGCAGAACTCCTTTCTGGCTTATTGATTTCCTGTAAACTATGATCTTCAAAAATCTAAATGCAATACAAATCACCATCTTCTGTCTTTTTGAGACATGTTCTTTTATTGTCCTTTCTCCTCAAAAACGTTTTCTTAGTTTCTTTCACTCTCAGTAAACCCTTGCATCTTAGTGGCTTTATCACCTTGCTTAATGTGAAATGATTAAAAAAACAAACAACAACATGTCCTAATTGGGATGTGAAAATATCTTGACTAAAAATCTATGCTGGGAATATGAGCCACCCTATTTATATCAATGGTCCTATGATAAAATTAGGTTCATCTTAACATTGTTTCTGCTGAAGTCCCACCTTTCATCCACTTTTCCAGTTGATAATCAAAAAGTTGTTGTGTATGAATTCATGCATTGGCTGGAGAAAGAAGTGAATTAAATGATAAAAGAAAGACGGAAATGGAATAAAGAATTAGTCAGTCTTTTTGCACTGCACATGCCAAGATAGTTCCAATTAATTATTTCTCACTGGCTGAGAAAATCAGATGTTAAAGAATACTGTTGAGTATTAGTGCTGTGAAATGTGTAGGTAATAAAATTTGGGATATAGAAGGAAAATGTGTAAATGGGAAAGTGTTTCTTAAACTAGAAGCAGACAAAAGTGAAAGAAGTAATTCAAGAAAGAAAAGAATGAAAGACAGAGAGAAAGAGCAAAGAAAGGTGAATGAGTAAAAGAGGAAGGATGAATGAAAACAAAAGATATAATACATATATATATTTTTTTAATCATTTCATAGAAAGCAAGATAATAAAGCAACTAAGACACAAGAGGTTACTGAGTGTGAAAGAATATATATAAGAAAACAAACAAAAATATTAAGGAGAGAAAACAATAAAAGAACAGGAATTAAGAAGACAGTAGATAATGATTGATATTGCATTTAAATTTTTGAAGATCAAAGTTAGCTGGAAAGCAAGAAGCGAGACGAGAGAGAAAGTGACTGTTAGCATAGAATTTAACATTGTCAATTCAAATGTAAAATTATGAGACATTGTTGCCAATCTAGTCCTACACTTAAATTCATAAAGTCTAAGTACCATAGAGGAAAGTAATATTTATTTTGAAAATACAAAGATGTGGCACAAGGCCAAAAGGATGGAAATATAGGAAGGCTGGTCTTCAATTCTGTCTTATCTTAAACTTAGCTAGCGACATTTACTAACCTAAACTTTGCACAATATTCCTAACATCAAAAGAACACATTCTTACTACGGCCACCATAAGACCTCAGAGTCTCTATGAAGTTTTAACTAGTTCCTATATGTACAATTTTTCTGAGGTGGATGGGGGATAGAAATAACAATTTTTAAAAATGGAACCTCAATGAATACTTACAAATGATTACCAAAGAGGAAAGCTCATCCAAACAATTATTTAAAAAAAAAAAAAAAAAAAAAGGCACAGGGAAGCTACGTTAGGTGGTGGGAAAGTGACTGCAGTTGAGATGCCAGGTCAGGACCAAAAACTATTACCTACATATTTAAAACAATCTATATCCATTTATTTTTGTGTATGTAAGGCATTTCTATGTCATCAAAAGAGTTAAATACATAGAAAGTGTGGTGAATTGTCTATTTTCATGTAGTGGACTCTGCTGCTGAAATAGTCATATATTACTATGTTGTGATTATGTCACAAAATTTTAATTTGGTATGTTAAACTTGACAAATGAAACTTCATAATTATTCATTAAATATCTAATTTTATATTCAGAAATTTTGGAACATAAATCAGAAAAATGCAAAAGAATATAAAATTCTATATTTTATAAATAGAATGAAATTTTAAAATTACTCAGATATTGCAGTCATTTTTCTGATATCACAAGTAAATTAGTTCTTTTATTGTTTATTATGGTTTAGTTATTTTGAATTAGCTAACTAGTATGTCTATTTGTGTTGTGTGAAAATATAAGTTTGTAATTTTACTGAGTGCCTGTATATACACTGCATTAAGTTTTATTACGTCTGGTCATTTAAACAGGAGTTGAGATCCCTTGCTTCCTGCTTAGGATTGGGTTTCAGTTCCTTCTGATGTCTACTTCAACTCTTTACTTCTAAAGTCCCCACCTAAACTAAGCTAGCCACATAGAGAAAAGTTCATTAGAACAATTACCATAAAAATATTTATAGAAAAGGTACAGGGAAGCTACATTATAGTGGTGGGAAAGTGTCTGAAACTGAGATGCCAGGTCAGGACCAATAACATTGCAGATTCTTGTTTGGATTTTTATCAAGAATCTTTAAATGCCAGTAGCACCAGATCATATGTGGCAACAATACTCAAAACCTGGGAGAATGATAGACTTATAATGTAAGGACATAAAATGAATAAACAGAAGAAAGACATTAATGGAAAGTTTAAAAAATACAGAGAAAGGAAGAATGAACAGCAGAGAAAAGAAGTAAGTTATCGGAGAATAAGAAGAAGGAAGTAATAGATGTAAAAAATAAAGAAAAAGAGAACTATTTAAAGATCTTCAAGAATAAGTGAAGGCCAGGTTGAAGAAGATAATGAGAAAGAAAAAAAAAGAAAGACTTCAGTTAAAAAGTGATAGAGATGAAAGAAATGAGAAAGAAAGATTTGAAAGAAGAAGTGAAGGCCAGGTTGAAGAAGATAATGAGAAAGAAAAAAAAAGAAAGACTTCAGTTAAAAAGTGATAGAGATGAAAGAAATGAGAAAGAAAGATTTGAAAGAAGAAGTGAAGGCCAGGTTGAAGAAGATAATGAGAAAGAAAAAAAGAAAGACTTCAGTTAAAAAGTGATAGAGATGAAAGAAATGAGAAAGAAAGATTTGAAAGAAGAAGTGAAGGCCAGGTTGAAGAAGATAATGAGAAAGAAAAAAAGAAAGACTTCAGTTAAAAAG